AAATTTTCCATCAAGCCGGTTTTATAGAAGTCATTGTTTGACTTCTCTGGAACGGAAACAGCTATAGATGGGTCGAAATTAGCTCGGTCCCTGGTGAACCACAAAATTTTTGCGTCATCTATGGTCAGCTTTAGTTTGGAGGAGTTGGGCATTCTTAACCGCTTCCACGCCACCCTATAGCAGAAATAGTTCTACAGGGCGGCACCAGTGCGCAAAATTACATATATATATATGTGTGTGTGTGTGTGTGAGATTTTGCAGTGCCAGGTAGGGGGCGCACACGCCCTACCCGCGCCGCCATTCGCCTGCCAGCACCTGGTGATCTCCGAGTATTTCCAACGGGGGAAAGACCTGTATGTAAACAATACAGATCTGTCCCCTGTCAGCTCCTGCACACTGCTTTGTATGGCTCTGAATAGCAGAGCCATATAAAGCAGTGTGCTTACAGTGAAACACACACAGCCCACATAGTAAAACAGCACACAGTTAACCCTTTGATTGCCCCGCATGTTAACCCTTCCTGCTCAGTGCCATTAGTACAGTGTCAGTGCTTTTTATTAGCATTGATCACTGTATTGGTGTCAGTGACACCAAGTCAGTTCCCCCCAGTGTCAGAATGCCTTCCACAGTCCCGCTATAAGTCACTGATCGCTGCCATTACTAGTAAAATTTGCCATTTGTAAACGCTATAACTTTCACGTAAACCAATTAATTTACACATATTGGGATTTTTTTTTAAGCAAAGACATGTAGCAGAATAAATTTTGGCCTAAATTTATGACGATATTTGATTTTTAAAATTTCTTTTACTGGACATGTTTAATAGGAAAAAGTAAAAAATATAGGTTCTTTTCAAAATTGTCGGTCTTTTTTTGTTTATAGTGCAAAAAATAAAAACCGCAGAGGCGATCAAATACATCTGAAAGAAGGCTCTATTTGTGGGGAAAAAAGGACGTAAATTTCATTTGGATACAATGTTGCATGACCGCGCAATATCAGTTAAAGTAACACAGCGCCGTATCGTGAAAAATGGCCTGGTCAGGAAGGGGGTAAATCCTCTGGAGGGCAAGTGGTTAAGCGGGCTGCATTTACATTCAGACGGCTCCTTGGTAAGAGCCACACTTGATGCTGAGCCTCCATGATTGCAAAAACTAAAGTTCTCCAGCCAGGGAACTGAGGGGGCCTCTATCTAACTTGCTGCAACTTCTAATTCAGGCTATGAGAAGGTCACAATGTGCAGTGAAATGAGTAAACAGAACAGCATAGGAGCCTGTGTAACTGAAGGAAAGGTGTGAGTTCCCCTTTAAGCCCAATCCGCTTACACAACTGTGAAATTCCATAGATTCAGTGGGCAGCTGAGGCTCTGGCATTTGATTTTAGATTAGATACTTTTTTCAATACAACAAAATTTTACATGGTAGCTCCCGATAACAGCAGTAAATATATTCATATATGAAACCCACACATACATACACACATACAGTCATGGCCAAAAATATTGGCACCCCAGCATTTCTGTCAGATAATGCACCACTTCGCCCAGAAAATTGCTGCAATTACAAATGTTTTGGCATTCTCATATTTATTTCTTTAGTTTGTTTGTATTGGTATGACACACAAAAAGTGGAGAATCAAAAAGCCTGTGGACCCTGTGCAGAAGTCTGTGAGATTCATGACAACTTACCAGCAAAAAATGCCCCACTCTGAGCTCTGGCAGCTCTCTGTAAGCCCACTCACTCTGTATGCCCACTGAGCTCTGGCAGCTCTCTGTATGCCCACTGAGCTCTGGCAGCTCTCTGTATGCCCACTGAGCTCTGGCAGCTCTCTGTATGCCCACTGAGCTCTGGCAGCTCTCTGTATGCCCACTGAGCTCTGGCAGCTCTCTGTATGCCCACTGAGCTCTGGCAGCTCTCTGTATGCCCACTGAGCTCTGGCAGCTCTCTGTATGCCCACTGAGCTCTGGCAGCTCTCTGTAAGCCCACTCACTGTGTATGCCCACTGAGCTCTGGCAGCTCTCTCTATGCCCACTGAGCTCTGGCAGCTCTCTCTATGCCCACTGAGCTCTGGCAGCTCTCTGTATGCCCACTCAGAGTTAGTCTCAAAGTGGTATTAAACCCAAAACCAAAAATGTAATATTTTGCAGCTTGCCAGTCATTAGATGGGGTGGCTGCATTCGTTTTTTTTTCCCTTCTGTTTTCACCTGGTGATCTGCCCAGGAACACATCTCCTGTATTGGAGTGCCCCTACTATAGATGAATGAGCACAGGGGAGAAAGCAGCATTGTCAGTCTGGGGAGAGAGCGGTGTTAAATGTTTTAGCAGATTTAAATACACTAACAAATCGAAGCCAAATACCAGGTCACACTTTATAATCTGTTACATCAAATGTTTTTTTTTTTTTCCTTTTGGAATAAAGGTTCTACATAAGTAATAACTGATTTTAATAAGCGCCCCTGCCAGTGTTAAATGACTTGTCCCATCTCTGTAAACCAATACATCTAGAAGAGATCTTGTTCTTTTGAAAACAACAGACTTAGGCCCCTTTCACACAATTGGTCTGATCAGGTACACCTGTCCATTTTTTAGGTGGACCCGATCGGACCCTCCATTCTTCTTGGGTTTAAGAGAACTTGTGTCCATTTGCACCTGCCTACCTCAAATCCAATCTGCTAAAAACAAACGGAAGGAGATCCATTCCCCTCCCTCTAGATCAGCAATGGGCAAACTACGGCCCTTTTAATCCGGCCCGCGGAGAGTGATACTGTCAGGATGGCTGTCAGGATGTGTGTAGGTGGGGCAGCGTGACGAACGTGAGGGGAGCTAGGCTCCTCTCACAGTCCGCCCTGAAGACCGGAACGGCGCGGGAACACGGCGAGAGGAACGCGCGGAGCAAAGGTAAGTAAATTGACACAGGGGGGACTTGGGGACTTAATATGGGGGATGAATTAATATGGGGAATTAATTACTATAGGGGGGATGAATTACTATATGGGGGATGAATTACTATGGGGGATGAATTACTATATGGGGGATTAATTACTATGGGGGATGAATTACTATGGGGGATGAATTACTATATGGGGATGAATTACTATGGGGGATGAATTACTATGGGGGATGAATTACTATGGGGGATGAATTAGTATATGGGGGATGAATTACTATGGGGGATGAATTACTATGGGGGATGAATTACTATATGGGGGATGAATTACTATATGGGGGATGAATTACTATGGGGGATGAATTACTATATGGGGGATTAATTACTATGCTTACTATGGGGGAATATTACTATACTTACTATAGATGACACATACACATCATTCATCTACTCTTGGTCCGGCCCCCGTGTCCAATATATGAACCCATTGCGGCCCTCAAGTCAAAAAGTTTGCCCACGCCTGCTCTAGATGGATCGTACTTGTCATCCACCCACTCCACTCTGCTTAGGGGGGATCAGTGTACAGATCCCCTGCTGAGAAAGGGGGTTCCGCCCTGTGTAAAAGGGGCTTTACTAGTCAGAAGAATGAAAGCCTAAAAAAGAAAATGAATGCAGGCATCACCTCTAAGAATTGTAAGCTGCAATATATGAAAAGTTTGCTTTTTGGTTTATTACTGCATTAATTACTTCAAATGACCTGATGGTTCAATGACAGGAGACAGGCATACAACCAAGAGGGTGCACCTCCTTGTTTTGTAATGCTGCATATGAAGGGGACACCCCCAGTCCTAGGAGGGCTGCAAGGTATGTCAGTGCCATACTTATAAGCCGGAAAAATGGTAAGTCTTATCAGACTCTAAAGCACCACATAGAAGCACAGAGGTTTTTATACAACCAAGAGGGGCCATGCTTAATCTCAAACTGTAATAAAGTCAAATCTCCATGTACAGCCAGGGTCTAGCATCCTAGGGGGCTATAGAGGGACATAGGGATCTAACAGGTACTTGTAAATGCTATAAGGTTCTTGCACATCGGTGCATATTCTTTTATAGTGTGTGCATGCCTCAATCCAAAAGCTCTTAGTGTGATTTCTGTCTGCGGCTTGCCTGCCTGCTCTGCTATCTGCATCAGTCATTTCTGACAGCTAATGCCTTCATTAAGCGATGGATGGGGAGGGGGAGCTCAAGCACACTGCCTGTGATGGACAGCCTCAGCTGTGAACGTTTCCCTATGAATTTGTGAAGGGTAGTGTGTCCCTTCCCTCGACTCAGGTCTTAGGATACAGTCAGCTCCCCACTATGTGCTCTGCAACGTGTGAGGTCAGATCCCCACCCCATGCCTGCTAGAGCTCAAAAATGCTGTGCAAAATGTATGCTTTAGAAGGCTGTAGAGGAGAGGGCTGTAGATAAACAGGTACAACTTATGTCGGAGGATTTGTTTTATCTCTGTTTATTACCTGAGGCTTCTCACTTCATTGGGTATTTGTAAGGGTTTACAACCGCTTTATGAATATAAAGTTTGCAGTTAAGGAACGCTTTTGATGCTAATAGTTAAAACATATCTAAACACAAGAACAAAAATGTAATATATTGCAGCTTACCCATCTTTAAATGTGGTGGCTGCATTCATTTCCTTTTTCAGCTTTTTTTTTTTCTTTTTTAGCTTTCGATCAAAGAGATATAACAACACACTGTATTGGTATATTTAAAGAACCAAAAAGGAGCAAATAAAAGAAGTTTATTGCTTTACATACACCTAAAGCGGTGTGTTACTATAGCTGAACAGCTGCAGCTGTATCGTTCCCAACACCAAAATATTTTCAGTAAAGAAACTGTATGCTGTTTGTGGCCTTCAGGCTCAGCAAGCCATAGCTCGACAATCTGTTATAAGCTTTGCTGGAAGCAGCTGGATTCATTGCCAAACACTCCATGCAGAATCAGAGAATCCCCTTCACGTTGCAGTATAAATATTGTGTTCTGTTGCCAGCATGGCATTCAATTAATGAGGAAGAATGTGAATTGTCTGCGAACTCTTGTTTACATTTCCTTTCATTGCAGGTCTCCAGTTATGGCCGGTGGATTATTCGCTGTAGACAGAAAATGGTTCTGGGAACTTGGAGGATACGATCCTGGGTTGGAGATCTGGGGAGGAGAGCAGTATGAGATATCATTCAAGGTCAGTCTGTGGATTACTAGCATTTATTGTGGTATTTATTTTACCTGTTACACTTCCTTGAGAATATTCTGCAGCCCATTGTGTGCCTGTTACACTATGATTTTCCTAAGCGATGCAGTATATGCAAACCTTTTCTGTATTAATCTGAGTTATAAGAGTGACCTTATGATATTTTGGAAGACAATAACCCATTTGATAGGAAAGTTAACAGAAATAGACATAGGGCTAGACCCAGAAGTATGTATTTTGCATAATATGGATATAACAGTAAATAAATATAAAAAATCAGGGATATGGTACTATATAAATGCTGCAAAAGCTCTGATACCCAAGTTCTGGCGGAGAATGGAGGTGCCGAAGGAAGAGGATTGGATAGAAAGAGTGGAGCAGATTAAAAAGATGGAAAAACTCTATCATATTCAAAAAGATAAGATGGAGGCCTATTATGGGAAATGGGAGAATTGGGAAAAAGCCAGATTATACATGAAGTATAGGAAAGAATAAAGAAAACAATAGAAAAATTTCACTTGCTGTTATAAGAAGATGCAGAGAAAATGAAGGGAAGGGAGATGGGGATAGGGTGGGGGGCAGGAGGTGGGAGGGAAATTTGGAATAGGGCAAATAAAGTAGAAATGTTGGATATTATAATGTATTTTTTTTATATATATAATGTGATGATGAAATGTATTTAAAATGGAAAAATTAATAAATATTTAAATTATAAAAAAAAAAGAGTGACCTTATGACTGGTGACTTATGAGCCGCCATCTTTTTTTTTTTTTTTTTTCTTTTATGCATTTCTGTAATCATTGAAATAATATTTCTTCATAGAGAAGAAAGTGTTTTTTTTTTGTTTGTTTTCTTTTGGCCATTCTTACCCAAAAAGTATTTTTCTGTTTTGAGCAGAGTGGGGCAGAATTCGATCCATACTGTCTTTAGAGCTCTCCTATGGTGAGATGCCTCCTTCTACACAACAGTGCATCACCTTTTCAGCCATGCCTGCTTTGTCACCATCCACTTTGAGATCTCCTTTTGTACTTATGGAAAAATCCACCAGGTATCGATGGACACGTAACAGGCACCATCTGTTTGACTGTTCATCAGAATATAGTAAGAATTCATTTAGGCCTGTGAACCAAGTATCTCAGATTAAAGCCAAGCAGGAGGAGGGGAAGAAGTTGGGATCAGACCCTGACCTACCTGACTTAACTATGGCCTTATCATTCTGCCACCCTCCTGTAACTAACTAAGAAAAACAAACTAAAAGTATCTCTTATTTATCGGAATTCATGGTCATGTGACATCCCAAGTCCCAAGTCTTCAGTTTCATAGACTACACAAGGTGAGGGAGGGACAATTCTTTTTTGTGCCCTCATAACTTCTTGGGTGATGTTGACACTTCTCATTGTCAGTTCAGTGGACAGGGTCCTCTCATGCTCCAGTAGATTGCAGTGGCATGGTAGCATTATGACTAGATGCAGCAAAAAGACCAGTCATGGGCAAGTCCGGACACAAGCATTGAATCACTGGTTCCCACTCCTATGTAAGGCAAAGCCGCAGGTTCACCTAAAGCTTACCTGTGCCCAGACTGCACACACTAAATTATTTACATATTCTGAAAAAAAACGTAAAGTAAACCCTAATTCACCTCAGTAGCTAAAGACAGTATAGAGAAATTCATTTTTAAAGTTCACAACTGAGGCACTAAATTCTCAACTTCTTTCTATGGGAGCAGATATTGACAGTCTGCCAGCTATCATCTTCTTCATGCCACTCGCTGGTCATTATACTTCGACAAGGAATGTGGACCAACTTCTTTTTCTCTATATCTGGGTGCTACATTGTACTATGTCATCTGCTTTTCTTTGTTGACCACATCAACATTCATATCTCCAACTGTGTTACTCTGGGTCTTGCTGATAACTGTTATTAGGTACACACCCCTCCTTTTGGATAGTGTTGGCTTCATTTCACTTCTTTTTTTTTTTTGATCTTTTTTCTTTCCTTTTTGCTTATGTCACGCTGTTAAGGACTTGATGTCATGTTATGTTTTCGTACAGTGCCTTTAAAAAGTATTCATACCCCTTGAAATTTTCCACATTTTGTCATGTTACAACCAAAAACGTAAATGTATTTTATTGGGATTTTATGTGATAGACCAACAAAAAGTGGCACATAATTGTGAAGCGGAAGGAAAATTTTCTAAATTTTTTACAAATATGTGAAAAGTGTGATGTGCATTTGTATTCAGCCCCCTTTACTCTGATACCCCCAACTAAATCTAGTGGAACCAATTGCCTTCAGGAGTCACTTAATGAGTAAATAGAGTCCACCTGTGTGTAATTTAATCTCAGTATAAATTCAGCTGTTCTGTGAAGCCCTCAGAGGTTTGGTAGAGAACATTAGTGAACAAACAGCATTGTGAAGGCCAAGGAACACAACAGATCAGACGGGTCAGGGATAAATTTGAGGAGTTGTTTAAAGCAGGGTTAGGTTATAAAAAAATATCCCAAGCTTTGAACGTCTCACAAAGCACTGTTCAATCTTTTAATCCAAAATTGGAAAGAGTATGACACAACTGCAAACCTACCAAGACAGGGCCATCCACCTAAACTGACAGGCTGGGCAAGGAGAGCATTAATCAGAGAAGCAGCCAAGAGGCCCATGGCAACTCTGGAGAAGCTGCAGAGATCAACAGCTCAGGTGGGAGAATCTGTCCACAGGACAACTATTAGTTGTGCGCTCCACAAATCTGGCCATTGAAGAAAGCCATTGTTAAAATAGAACCATAAGAAGTCTCATTTGCAGTTTCGAGATGCCATGTGGGGGACACAGAAAACATGGAAGATGGTGCTCTGGTCAGATGAGACCAAAATTTAACTTTTTGGCCTAATAGCAAAACACTAAGTGTGGCCGAAAACTAACTGTACATCACCCTGAACACACCATCCCACCAACTTGGTGGGGATGCTTTTCTTCAGCAGGGACAGGGAATCTGGTCAGAGTTGATGGGAATATGGATGGAGCCATATACAGGGCAATATTAGGAGAAAACCTGTTAAGAGTCTACAAAAGACTTGAGACTGGGGCTGAGGTTCACCTTCCAGCAGGACAAGGACCCTAAATATACAGCCAGAGATACAATGGAATGGTTTAGATCAAAGCATATTCATGTGTTAGAATGGCCCAGTCAAAGTCCAGACCTAAATCCAATTGAGAATCTTTGGCAAGACTTGAAAATTGCTGTTCACAGACACTCTCCATCCAATCTGACAGAGCTTGAGCTATTTTGTAAAGAAGAATGGGCAAGAATGTCTCTCTCTAGATCTGCAAAGCTGGTAGAGACATCCCCAAAAAGACTTGCATCTGTAATTGCAGTGAAAGGTGTTTCTACAAAGTATTGACTCGGGGGGGGGGGGGGGGGGGGGGGGGGGGGGGGTGGGGGGGGGGGGCTGAATACAAATGCATACCACACTTTTCAGATATTTATTTGTAAAACATTTTGAAAACCATTTATCATTTTCCTTCCACTTTACAATTATGTGCCACTTTGTGTTGGTCTATCACATGATATCCCCATAGAATACATTTGTTTTTGGTCGTGACATGACAAAATATGGAAAATTTCAAGGGGTATGGATAGTTTTTTAAGGCACTTTACTTATAAAAGCAATATAAAAATATATTCAATCTAAAGTTCTCTTACTGTTGGTTAAGGATATTTAAATAGTTTATTGTCTATAGTTTGGGCACAGGTGCACTTTCACTTCTGGGCCTCTCTTTTTGCTAGAACTTTCCTTTGCTCATACAGGGTGTAAATAAAATGAACGTCTCCTTTAATTGCATCGGCAAAGTAGAGTTTCACTTCAAGTGCTATTACAACTTTGATGAATCAGGACAAAAAAAAAAAATAAATGCACATACATTGGTGAACTGATCCTTGAGTATTAAATGTCTCAGCCTCCTCCATATATCAATATTCCTCTTTTTCTTTTTTATTGCTGTTGGCCATTCAGCTTCTTGTTAGATGGTCACTACATATGTTCTCCGTGGTTCCACTGTATGTAGGAACATTCTCTCTTGCTCATTCCTGAGATGGACTAGGGACTATGAGATGTGTATTGTGTATAGCGCATGGACATGACTGCAACTAACGTACACTGCTGGTTACAAACAAATGAAAGTGTGAGGGAAAGATGTGATTCGGAAGGTCACAGAGGACGTTAGTAGGAGGCAGAAGAACCAGTTTCATGAAAAATAGATTACAGGGCCATTAGGCACTGGATGTGTATGGACTATTTTTGGACAATAAGGTTTTACATTAACTTCAGGTCTGCTTTAATAGTCCTTTCTCTAATATCAAAAGCCCACATTTCCTTCACTTCTCCATCTTTTGATTCAGCCAACAGAAGCCGTGATAATACCCAGTACTTTCAGGTATCATGTGTTTGCAACTCACAATATCAATTGGCCCAACACTGTCATGTAAGGATGGGAAGGGTCTTCACTCCCAAAACTAATGCAAATCTTCTTCATATGAATGTTTATGCTGTTGGACATCTGTACCATATCTAAGGCAAACCTTGTTTAATTTAAAACAAAAAAACAAAAAAAACTGTGCTTGCCTGACACAGGTATAAACTGTTTTAGAGGAGCCTGAACATGGCGGCAGTGGGGAGTGAGCGGCACTAGCTATCAGCTAGGTTCCGCTCCCCGACCTTCCTAGTGACCCTTAGGACCTGACTCACCGGAGTCTGGAGGGACGCTGAACAGAGCCCGGAGAGCCGGTGATGGAAGCCGGACGAAGGGTGCAGTGAAGCGCCGGCCCCTCCGGTGCTTCACGAGAGAGAGATCCGGACCGCTGGAGGACGAGATGACGTGGCGGGGGCGTGTGGTAGCCACGGAGGACCTCTGGGAGAAGAGGAAGCCGGCTGGCCGCCTGACTGAAAGGGAGACGCCGGCTTAGGCTACCGGCTCTCTGTCGCCCACAACCCCCCGGC